ATAAACGTTCTGCCCCTTACAGGCCACAACATAACTCGTTTATAGAACAAAGGGGGCAAACGTTACAAGCCATGGCTCGCACTATGTTATCTGATTCAGATTTGCCTGAAACACTGTGGATTGAGGCCATAATGTGTGCCAACCATGTTTTAAATAATATGGTGAACACAACAACTGGTGAATTGCCATTCACTCATTGGCATGGCGGAAAACCAAATTTAAGTTATCTACATGCATTTGAAGCTCCAGCATGGGTACATATTCCCTCACAAGTAAGACTGAACGGGCAACACAGAGCTAGGAAATTATTTTTCGTAGGTTACAAGGCCAACCATAGATCATTTAGATTCTGGGCTCCAGGCACAGCTAATGTTTACTGTCGTGCTAGTGCTAAATTTCCTGAACACGTTAGGTGGCATAAACTAGAACAGGAATACAACAATGATGTTGTTATCAACATCCAAGTAGTCCCTAACAATGAGATAGTTAAACCACCAATAGCCATTAAAAAGGAAGAACAGGCACAGGAGGAGGCAGGAGAACAGGAGCAGGTGAAACATGAGAGTCCACCAGTAAGCCCTGAGTTGCCTAGATGTTCAACCCATGTAACACAACCACCAGATAGATATCAGGCTAGTACAGCATGCCAAGTAAATATAGTTCCTACTAACTACTGTATAATGAACTGAAACTGTATCCTTCTAAGGTTCAGGCTGCTTGGCAGGAAGCAATGGGTAAGGAACTGAAATCCTTACAAAGGTTGGAGGTATATGAAAATGCTAGGTTATCACCAGGTAAGCATGCCATAGGGTGTAAGTGGATTTATAAAATTAAGACAGGTGTGGATGGGACTGTTACCCATAAAGCCAGGTTAGTAGCACAAGGGTTCGATCAGTCAGCCAATGACTACAGTGAGCTGTTTGCACCTAGTCTGAAGGCAACCACATTACGAGCAGCATTAGTATGGGCAGCTAAGAAGAAATACACAATAAACCATTTAGATGTTGAGACGGCATATCTACATGCACCGTTGCAACACACTATATATTTAAAGAAGCCTTTGGGTATAAAAACTGATAACAAAACTGATTGCTGGAGATTGAAAAAGAGTCTTTATGGCTTGAAGCAATCAGGCTATGAATGGAACCACTGCATAGTGAAGAAATTAACAAAGATAGGTTTTGTAGCTGGCATGGCTGATCCATGTTTATTCAAAAAGGAAAGTGATGGTGTAGTTTCATTGTTGTTATTGTTCACTGATGACATAGCATTAATCACTAAAACTGAGCAAGAAGCTACTGGGATTATTTCACTGTTAGAGCAGAAATTTAAAATCAAACACTTAGGTGAGATTAAACAGTATCTTGGTTTGAAAATAGATAAAACTAAGGGAGGCTACAAAATCTCATAGGCAGATAAAATTAACCAGTTACTGAAGAACTTTAAAATGGAACTTTGTAAACCGGCTAAGACACCAATGAGCCAGGAGTTTAGCCACAGTGATGTGCAAAGTCCTGTTTTTGATAAAGACATTTATCAATCATTAATTAGTAGTTTATCCTATCTTAGTAATTGGTCTAGGCCAGGGGTGTCCAACCTTTCACCTTCCCTGGGCCACATTAGAAGATGAAAATTTGGTTTGGGCCGCACATAATTAAATTAAATAATTAATTAAAAAATTAAATTAAATTAAATTAAATTAAATTAAATTAAATTAAATTAAATAATTAATTAAATAATTAAATTAAATTAAATTAAATTAAATAATTAAATTAATAAAATAAAATAAAATAATTATTTATTATTTATTATTAATTATTTATTAAAAATTATTTATTTTTTATTTTATAATTTTCCGGCCAAATTTTGCGGGGTGAGGGGGGGAAGAAAGCTCGCCCACCTCGCGCCTACCTCTCCTCCTGCAAATGCAACAGCGGTGGCGGCGGCGGCGGGGGCAGAAACAGCAGCGGCGGAGGCAGAAGCAGCAGCGGCGG